CATCCTGACTGGCTTCTGTTATGCACCAGACCTATTGCTGCTCTGCTTACATCCACAGTGGTGTACCACCAGTACCAGCAAACCTGCTCTACCTATAGTTCTACTCATGTATGGTGCATATAAGATTTCTTTGATACATCATGGAGGGGACATTTGAGGATAACACCGTTGAGTACATTCATTTAAAGCATGTATGACCCTTTATGGGTCAGAGTTGAAGGTGAGCGTGCATGCTAGCGGGTGGAGGAGCACAAGTGGTGTTCACTGGTGGATTCACAGATTATTGACGATTCTGTTATTGCACATATTGGGACTTTACACCAGTTATATGATTTTGCTTTGAGGTTTTATTGAATTTTATGGCACATTTAAGCAATTTGTCACTTTGCAGTCAGTTTGATCATTTCATTGTGTTGCTGATTTATTTATTATGCAAATAATTTTTTACCTATTTATTGGTCAGTCACTTTATACACATTTTATTGGTTGTATTCATTTTATCACTAAAGGTTTATTATATTTATGTGATTATTCATCTGTCACTATGACTAATTATTGATTCAAGTGCTCTGTGGGGTGTTTACTGGAAGTTGTTTTTGGTATAAGGTTATTTTTTTGAGTAGCGCAGCATCATATTATATTTTATTTTTAACTCTATAGTATTCTTCACTCCTCCCCATCGTCTATATAAAAAGTATGTATGGAGGGGAGGGGTGAAAGGACTGGGCCAGCACACACAGTAATAAGACAGCCCCAAAAGAGGAGAGGGCACATTGGAAGCCAATAAAAATGTATTATGGATTGACAAAATGCTGCAAGAAAGCATTTACATTTTTTGATTTTTATATGTTTTTTTCTGTCGTTTTTTTAAGCCTGTGAATGGATTCATTTTATGCCAGCAGAGACATCCTTTCATAACATTTACATGTGTGGTATGAAATCTTGAATGGGTTATTTATTGTAATTACCCAGAGACACTCAAACTAATATATCAACTAATGACAATATATTGCAATGTACACATTTGTGCACTGAAGTTAAAAAACAAAGACCACAGTTTGCGTGAAAAACTTTATTAGGCATATAAAAGAATGCTAATGAGATGGGAGAGAAAATAACTGAGTGTTACAAAGTCCAAATCATCCATTTTCATCCTAGGGTTCCTATTTTACAGGTAAGTAGAACACACAATGGTATTAAACACACACACAACTAATGAATGGAATGATAAAGTCTAAGGGCTAGGAAAGACATTCTGGATGCCATTAATTTATAACCACTGGAAAGTAGGCTTCATGGTGTTGTAGGAAAAGGAATTACTTGATCAACAATTGCACTTTATGCAAAAACGTTAAAGAGATTTCCACCACTTTAGTTCTCCTGTTAACCAGCTTTTTAGTGAAATACAATGAATGACAGGTGGAGACGTTTTTTAGTATCCTATTATATTAGCAGGAACAAAGATAAAAGAGAAATAATTGCAATAATTCTCACACTCAATTACTGTGAATCATGGATAACAACAATGATGACAATAGAGCTGAGACCTTCATATCCTGCCACACCACTAAACCTGGGATGGTGCCACCAAGATTTTCACGCAAGATATCAATGTGTAATGAATGTTTGCCATTGGATTTAAGAGTATGAAAAGCCAAAATTGGACTTTTCATGGACAATCAACTAACACCCTGGCAAACATCTGGAGATACCATCTTCCCTAGAAATGGTGACTTTTCTCCCTCAAAGCATTTAGAGAAAGAAATACTTAGTTTTTAACTGAGAAATAGATATTTAGTCATGCCCTGCTGGGGTGTCCACTGGAACAGTCCATCAGATGTCAGGCATTAAATCTATTTTCCAGAAATCCAAGCATGATCTTTCATGCCCACAGTGGAGTCATCAAACCCTCTGAAATCCACTTGGTACTGGATAATCTATTTTGAGTGGTCTCATTCTTTAATAACATGCTTTACACTACTAGATTAAAGACAAAAGCAGATTCAGGAGACAGTGAAAGAAATTTAACAGAGAAATGTTGATTTGTCCAGCTGTATTCAAAGCTTTTTGTTAGGTACCAGGTTCACTGGGGTGGAGTTTGGCATTTCTCAATGGGAATCTTTAACACTTGGTTTGGTGCAATTCTGGTGAAAAAGGCGTGTTACACATAAGACATAATAAGATAATAATTCACAACAACAACAAAAAAATAATTATCTTACATTTTTATGTTCAGAATTGCATTTTTCAACAACACTCTGCTATATTATAGTTTATAATGCTTGATCGTTGGAATGGCCATAGCCTAAAGTACATTTCCAGTGTCACAATGACAATTAATCCTAACAATAGAATCTTTGGTCCAGCTCTGAATGGACCTTTGCATCTTGTTATACCCAAGTTATAACCTACGGTTATTGTGTTTTAATAACTTGTTCTCAAGAATAAAATACATGTATGATTTCCATACCCATGAATTTATAATTTACTAGTTTATTTATTATGAAAGGTTTTATAACATCATTTACAGGTAAAATCTATATTCTCCAGTTCAATAGGTGTTGCCACTTAGTGGTCTACAAGCTTAACGCTGAAAATGAAAAACTCTTTTTGGAATTCTAGGATCCTCCAAGCCTAGTTTTCCCTTTGTACAATAAAATCTTTTTAAAATATTGTGGACCTAAAAATCTCATTCTAATTTTCTGTGATATCACTGTATTTCCTTCATGTTCTAAGCTAGTTTTGGCTGATGGTAGGGAGGTTATGTATGATCCACTCATTACAACAAAAGGAGGGCAGTAGCAAGATCAGCCCTCTGCCCAAGGATGGAGAGCAATAGCAACCATTCTTCTGCAGTGGAAACAAAACCTTAGGTATAGATAGACAAGTTCAGCAATTAAAATATAATTTAAGGCAAAAATGTTTCTTTTCATTTTGAATGGCGTAGGGAATAGTGAAACTCCTATCAGGTTTTTTTTCCCTCACTTTCTGTCCCAGTGACCATGGTCATTAGGACAAATCCTGAGACTGAATCTCCCTAATGAGAGATTGATGGGACATAGATAGCAATAAAACTTGGCAAGGGTTTAACCATTGACCACTCCATCCAAATCCAAAAATAAAAATGTTGACTTTATATACAATAATTTCTTTTAGCTCTGCTGCAAAGTGATGAAAAAGAAAGAATATTTTTATGCGGACTTAAGTTCAATTTTTAGTTAATGGGGAATGATGAGGTTGCAGGCAATGCAAATGTGTAAACTGGTATTACTATGCTAAAAATTCCCTGTGCCATGACCAGTTCAAACACATTACATATCATCAGGTCTTATAAAGAGATGTCATACTTACTTTCTTTATGTTCTGTACCATGATGAACTGGAACGCTGTAATAAGAAAAAAAATATGGTTTACTATCAATTAGTTCTTTGGTGTAAGTATAACTATAACAAATCTTGTGACTGTTATTGGGCCCAGAAGCATAGGGGACCCAGAACTGTCTGGCTACACAGTGATTATACAGGTAGCAACTGTTTTTGTAATTGCATTTGGAGAAGATATATATATATATATATATATATATATATATATATATATATATATATATATATATATAATTTTCAAATCTTTATACAATTTCTATGAAAATAATCAGGATTCTACAGGAATGCCTTGAAAATAGAACATCCCTTTATTGGTTTTTCTACAGAGTTCTATTGCATATAATGACTGGGATAGAACATTACATTAGTAGCAATCTTGCTGTTGGGAGACACTATAACACTACGTTATTGGGCTATCCACAGAGGTAGTGTAAAAGGCATATGTATATCAATAAATTAGAAATCGTATTTTAACTGATATTACTTTAACTTATATGCAGAGAATTTCTATCCAGAACTGTAAAATAATTACTTGACAATTCTATTTTTTCTACCTATTTCCATCTCTACAATTCCTAACCTATTGTCCATCTTCAATACAATTCTTTTATTTCTAACCTATTGTCCATCTGCAATACAATTCTTTTATTTTAACCTATTGTCCATCTCATACAATTCTTTTTTTTCATCGAATGAAGTGAGACATCCTTCTTTTCAGCATATATACTTCAGTTTAGTTCAATAATAAAGAGATGTTTTTACATACTGGATGTCATGACCATCTAGTAGATGTTTGTATGTAGAAATCTCCATCTCCAGGTGGGTCTTCTGGTCCATGAGAATCTTGTACTCATGATTCTGGCGTTCAAGGTCTGATCGGACCTGGGTAAGCTGAGACTCCACATTATCGATCAGTGTTTGTAGCTGGGCTAGTTGAGAACCAAATGTTGCTTCTGTTTCAGCTAACGTGCACTCCAGGGCTGATTTCTACAGTGAGACAGTCACAGTTACTTTCATGTTCAGAGTTTTGAAATAAATCACCTTCAACAGCAAAATAATATCGGATGTACCTTACCATACTCATTTGGCTCTGTAGCTCAATCTCCAGAGTCTGTATAGTACGTTTCAAGTCAATAAGATCATTACTAACTGTCTGCAGCTGTTCGGCACCAGAAGACACCTCACTGTTGAGCTCTGCACTCTACAAGAAGAATAACAAAACTTTAGAAAGCTCAACATATAAAACAAAAAATATACAGAATTATGCCATGTGTTAATAGGCACATAAACGACTGATGCCCATCCACAGGTGGTACCAATGACATAATGCATGTAATCAGTGCAAATGCAGGCTATGGTATGAGAGCAACCATTAAACTACATCTGATCACAGAGCACAATCAGACCTTATCAATCAGACCACAATGACCTCTGCGCATTCAGTGAGGATGGAGCCAGTTTCAGGGAACAAGAGTATAAGAAATGTAGAAAATCTTATCACAAAATGAATACTGTTTCATGGCTTCCAGTAAGAGAAATATTAACTCTTGACTTGATTCGACTTGTTTTTAAATGGTAACAAAGATAGTTCTAGTTCTAGTGAAATACTTCACTTACCCTTGCAAGGAAAATGCTCTCAACTTCTCTTAGGTTCCTCTCCATAAGGTTCTCATATTGCTGTCTGACTTCAGATAAGGCTTGGTTTAGATCTACAGATGGTGCAGCCTCTACCTCCACATTGACTCTTGCACCAAGTTGTGCTCTTAGAGAGTTCACATCCTAAGGAGGTAAATAAGGAAAAGTTGAATGTGCATGCAAAAGCATAGCATTTTTTTTGTATTTTTTCTTTTTTTTTTTACCTCTTCATGGTTTTTCTTTAATTGGAGAACTTCCTCTTGGAGGCAACGGACTTGTATCTCCAAGTCTTGGCTTTGCATGTTGAGCTCTTCATGGGCTTTTCGAAGGCCACCAACATCTGCTTCAACACTGTTTCTTAAACTAAGCTCCATCTCATATCTACATGATTAAAAAAAACATAAAGAAGTACATGTTGAAACAAAAACATCAGTTAAAGAAAAATATGTGCAGTCTGCTACTCAATGTGCAGGCTGGATACCAAAGGTAATTGTCAGAAGTGCCAGATGTGATTATACATTTAGCAAAAAATATTGTCAGAATTTCCGAACCTTTCCAATACTAGGAAATAAGAAGAAATCTTCTCAATGGGAGCATAGATGATAGTTACAACCTACATTTAAAATAACATAAAGCATTTTACTAAGTTGGGCTTTAAGCCTTGTTGAGTGGGCTACTCTAATGCTGAAGACCGCTTTACATCACTTATGAATAATAGCATGTGACCATGTGTCCCATAGTCTTAAAGTTTATGTATATTCCAGACTTTCATTGTTTTGTATAGAGAAGGGAAGAAATAAAACCCCGTAAATGTATTATTTGTGGCCTGTGGCCTTTTGAGGAGATTTCTGTTCACTTCTGTTCCCAATGTTTGCATTGTAAATATTACCCTCACTTCTTGTTTTGATGACAACTGTTACATATTGGATTTCCCATCACTTTCTTCTTTCTTGGGACAGTAGTCCCCAGCTGGACAAATAAAGGAGAATCACACCAGTGGGGACATGGACAACAATAAAACCCCTACCCAATCCAAAATTTGAATATGGTTACTTACTTGCTTTTTAAGTCATCTGCAGCTAGCTGGGCATTGTCGATTTGCAAGATAATTCTGGCATTCTCCACATTGGCTGTAAAAACCTAAAAATAAAAAAAAATAGTAATAAGACTACATTCTAGTCAATGTTCTACATTATTTCTCAACTGTATCTGTAAATCTTTTACCTGGTTCTGCAGTTCTTGTATAGTCCTGAAGTAATGGCTGGAGTCGGGCAATGTACTGGGGGCATTGTTGGCATACCACTCAGATATCTTTTTCTCAAGCTGGGCATTTTCTTGTTCTAGAGAATGAACCTTCTCCAAATAGGATGACAATCGCTGATTAAGATGTTGCATGGTCTCCTTCTCATTGATGCTTAGCAGACCAGCATTCTTCCAGTGATGGTGTCCTCCAGAGACTGATATGTTACTTCCATGACCATGGTCATGGCCACCATGTCCACTTCCTAATCCATGTTTATGGCCAGAGGAAGAATGGCTGGAAAATGAGACCCTAGTGGTTTTTCCATGCACACTAGGAATTTTGTAGTGACCACCATGGTGAGAAAAGGAGGAGCTTTTACGGTGTACTGTGTGCACACCTCCATGATGAAGTGAAGAAATGTGACTAGGAGCTTTATGACCACCAGTATGGCAAAGATCAATGAGCGATCTGGAAGATGAGTGAATGTTGCTGTGGCTCATGGTTCTTGACTGACAGAAATGGTGGCAGAGAGAAAATGGAAGTTGATGTTAGTTCAGACAAAGAAGTGATTGCCTCTGTTACAGCTGCAGCCTCTTTTTATACACAGATGCTTCAGTGACATTAAGGTAGTTTATAGACATTTTATGTGCTTCATATTCAGTTTATGTTACTCAAGCATCTGAGTCAAAGAAAGCATCACCAACAAAGCTACATTAATGGGATTAGTGTGCAACCCGATTGAAGAAGTAAAGCATATTTGAAGTTTCAAAGGGACATAGTTACCACACCCTATCAATTGTATTGAAATATAGCTCAATGACTGCCTTTTAAAAGTTGCCTTTCTAACCTGGAAACTTAAGGAGCTCCTTTTTGCACTGCATGATACAGTGTATTGGGGGAGAATATATGATTTTGGCATGCTGGACCATTTGGAGAAGACCACAGCAACAAATGCTATAGCTTATGATTATTTTAGTAACAATTTATTTGTTTTTTCTGGTGAGTATTTATATATTCCTATAATTGCATCTTTTCTAACATGCCAGGGAGTATTTTGCAACTATTCCCAATATATGCTAGTGGTTCCAGTTTGAATCCTATGTGCAGGGCTACTGTTAGAAAACATGGAACCCCATACAGCATGCCTGACAGGGCCCCACCACCCACTCTCCAAAAATATGGAAATTATATTTTCACTAAAAATACACTAAAATCATAATAAGTGGACACAAACATAACATGATGTGCATAATTCCTGCTAAATCTAATCAATAATCTGTATTGAGTTATTAAAAAAAGTTCTGTGTGTAAATTAGGTCTTGGGGGTCATTCACATAGGTGCTGTGGCCTGTAGAGTGTGAAAAAGCATTTATTTTCTTAAAAAAGTAGCTGAATCTCTGTGCAGGGAACCTATCTCACTATATGGGGAACACAGCTGCAGGCCATAATTTGACAGGCATGTGGATGCTAGTGCAGGGGCGGACTGACCATTTGGAAACTCGGGCACTGCCCTTGGACAGGGTCAGTAGGGGGCCCCATGAGATGCCCCTGGTACCTTTTTCATAGGCTTTTTGGAGTTTGGGCAAGGACACAGGGGCTCCATGATCCCCTATTGCCCGGGGGCCCCATGAGTTGTCAGTCCACCCCTGTGCTAGTGTACAGCCCCAAACACAGACAGTGTTCATTCAAGGCCACTTACCCACACCTGCACACTTCAGTCTACCTGCATCAATCTAGGACCTGCAGCTGTGTTCATACAACCTCTGAGAACCTTATTTAAAGGCCCTTTTTTTTAATTATTTTTTTTCACAATTTTAAAAATTATTTTTTTCACAATTTTAAAAATTATTTTTTTACAATTTGTTGTTATTTTTTTACATTTACAATTTTTTTATAGCACTATTGGGGGGGGCATGGTAAGATATCAAAGGTCTAAACAGACCCCTGTCATCTCACCTTTGAAACAGTGAAAAGAATGAGGACACAAGTTCTTCATTTCCTTGCTTTACAGCCTCAGCTGCACTGAAGATGAATGAACAGAAGGACAGACAGAGGCACTTGTCCATTCATAAACTGAAGCATAGTAAACACAGTTTCCTGTGCTCAGTTATCAATAGACACAGGAGTGATCGGTAACATGTCCATTCACTAAAGGAAGGGACAGGTAACTCCTTCCCCCGCTCTCCATCCTGACATGTCCCCCTGTGTGCCCCCATCAGCTGGCAGGACAGGGTAGCCAGCAGAACTGTGGGAGCGAGGGGGGGGCTTGGACACACAGGGGGACACACAAGGCAGAATCAAATATGGGCAGGACAGGGAGGGGGATCGGTGTGGTGGAGTGGGGAAGGGAAATTACAGAATGATGCCTTGTGTCTATGCCTCTCCCTGCAGCAACTGAAAGCCTGGTAGGAGGGAGAGGGGGGTGAAACGAGCTTTTAGCTGTTATAGCAAGCCACACGAGGGATCATTCCTGTAATTCCCCCCTGCTGCACCAATTTCCCTTGCTGTCTGGGCCCCTCGTGTTCCTGGGCCCCTACAGGAGGATCAGTGGTACCCCCTTATTGGCGGTTCTGCAAGGCCCCCCAGGCTGCCTGCAAGCAGCTGTAAGGAGCACCTATGCATCCGACACAGGTGAAGACAGCCCTTCGTATGGCTGTATGGGCTGGTAAGCCTATGGGAAGGGCCACCGATTTCTATGGGCCCCGCCCAGCACACAGGGCTCACGCAGGTTCACTCAATGGCCATAAGTAGCCAGAGTCCTTGCATCTGCACGCACTGGTGTACCAATGACACAGCCAAACTGCAGAACCCACTCACCATGCTCCAGGTCTCTCTTGGTGACCACATATCTCTGTATTGGGGATATCAGATACCTCAGGCCTAAAGATTTCTTGTGGTACAAAGATAGTGCCTCTCTCTGCCTATCCACCACTAGCCCCTAGCTAGTCCAGGTTTGTGTTACCCTTGGTTACACCAGGATTCTTCTTCACCAAGTGGGAGCTGCAAACGGATGTCCTGTTTAGCATATCCTAGGAAGGAGCTTTCCCAACACTTAGCATCAAGGTTACTGGAATCCAGTTCTGACACATGAAGCAGCCAGCAGCTCAGTCCAATGCAATTATATTCTATCAGTCACAGTTCCAACACGGTAGTACACATTAGAGATGTGTACGATGGAAACATTTGTTTCATTTCATCTTGGATTTATTCCTTAAGTCAATCACTTTATTTTGTCACATTCGTTATTTTAGAATGATTCATTTTGGAATTTGTTTTGTATATTCATTTTAATTTCATTTATTTGTTGTTCTGATTCGATTCATATTTTTCAGAAGTTATTTTGGAAGATTCTGATTCATTCCTTACGTCGTTTATGATATTTCAACGACTTGCTTTTGACTTTGATGGGACTTGATTGCAGCTTGATTGTGACTTTGATGCAACTTTCTTGTGACTTTGGCTTTGGCCAATCATAGTAATCCAGAGTTTGACAAATATTCTTGAACTTACAAAACCCTTTGAAGCTGCAACCAAATGAAATGAAGGAATAAGAATGAATTTGTTGTTTTCGCTATCATTTACAGTATTTCGGATATTTAATGAAACGTATTACTATTGTGAGTCGGGAATTAGGATGCATCCAGATCTCCGAATAATGAAAATTTAGATTTATAATGAAACAAATTGCACACGTCTAATACACATTCTCTTAATCACCTATGCTTGGCATCCTCCATTCATATATAACAAATCTTTATGAACTTCAAGGGAACCTCTCCAAGGGATATTAAAAAGGATAAATCTCAATCTCTAGATCATGCTCCATCTAGTGTCTCCTCTTCTTCCCATAGCCAGCAACTCCCATGAGCTAAGCTCCACCAAAGGTATTTAAGAGATCCTGCAAAGTGAAAAAAACAAGAAGCGCACCAACCTTGCGCATTACCTCAGTAACCAAAATTTATTAGTAAAGGAATGGTACTCAAAAACAGCGAATAAAAACAGGCATGTAAGTCCTCCGCGAATCCCATCATGGGGGTAGACACTCAGTACACTGACGCGTTTCAAAGGTCATACCTTCTTCCTCAGAGCTGAGTTGTTTTTTTTCACTTTGCAGTATTGTTCGGGCTTCCCCAGCCTTGTTTTGGAGCTGCACGACCTTTCATGCTCTGGTGGTCGTTTCGTTTGGGTTTGATTTCACCTACTCGCCACCGGCCTGGGTCCTGGAGCGCAGGAGGAGGAATCGTATTTTTTCCATTTAAGAGATCCTGCCAGAAAGGAAATGAAATCATCTTTCTTCATGAAGGATTCTTAAAAGAGAAATATACTTAAATGGGCCACCGAGTGGACCCTGCTTACATGCTTATGTGAACAAGACCTAAAATACACTTTTGGGTGTGGTTTTCATACTTTTGAGCAGAACACAAATTAAGACACAAGGGTCCAAATGTCAGAAACGTACCTAGATGTAGTTACACTTCTTTTTTTATAAGGATGCAACTTTTGAATGTTTTAATATGAGATATGAGGGTGTTTCAGGGTTTCCTTGGTGCAACAGGGCTCTGTGGATGTAATGAATATGTTTAGTCATAACCCCATTTTTGGGGTAAAGTGGAATTTCACTCTTTCAATCAAAATTGACTATTTTAATCCTTATGGTGCTAGCATTAGTAAATAGCTCAGAAGGTATATTATATTTACTTTTTTTTAAACTTTTTTTTACATTCCTGATTTCCATATCTAGGCAATATGATGTCATAAGTCCCAGAAGTCTTCAGGAGGGGGGAGGGGTTTTCTCAGCTAAGCACACCCTCCTGCCTTCATGCCTAAAGTAAGGACAGATGGATTCCAGGAGTAAATGCTACATGAATCATCTGCCCTTACTCAAGGTGGCCATGGCTAGAAATGCTAAGAGGTGTTTTTCAAGGCGATTTTCATCATGAAAATAAAGTATGGAGATGTCACGGGCCCCCCTCCCTCGCTCCCTCTCTTCCCCCTTCTCCTGATTCCTGCACTCCTTCTTCCCCATTGCATGTCCCTGCGCCAACATGTAGCCCACATAAAGTGATGTGCTGGGCGCCAGGGAGCTGCCCCTGCGATGAGTCCTCACACCTCTCCTCAGAAGGGCGCCGAGGAGTCTGCTGCCCCACTGTGTCTGCATGTGGATTCTTTACATGCAGGTCACTAGGTGCTGCGCGCCTCCTCCCCGTGTCTCGGCGGGCACAGCACGTCCCTGAGGTTCCTGCGATCTGCACCCGCCAGAGACAAAGGCCGCGTTCCCCTGTGCGTGGCTGGAGTGAGGGGGTGGGGTGTGTTGCCACGGCAACTCGACCCCAGGGCAGCCATGCCTGGCAACCTGGGAGTGTCCTGCTTCGGCAATAAAAGACTGGAACAGGACCCGAGCAGGGAGATCTTTCCCTGTTCATAACCTGGGGTGCTGTGAGAGGTCTTGTGCTGCGGCCAGACCCTACAGCCAAGCCGGATTAACCATTGCCTGCCAGTC